CACAGGGATGGAATGAATTCGGAAACAGAGCGAGAGGCCTGCGTGGGGGAAGAGCGACCAGCGCTAGAAGAAAGGGAAAGGCCTTTCTCTCTAGTGACAAGCAGTCACGAGGTATTCTCCATACGTGGGCACTCACTATTGGCTGAGCCAGGGCTGACGTCCGGGCTAACGTCCGGACGCAAACCGCAGCAAAGGCGGTCCTGCACTGGAAGTTGGCGAGGCGCGCGCGCTCCCGCGGCACACCGCGCCTCCGCCCTCCGCCCGCCAACCCGCTGGTCCAGTCCCCCTTCGCGCCCGCTTGGCTCCGCCCCCTTCGCAGCTCGCTCCTCCCCCACCAGGCTGGCGGCGCGCGGAAAACGCGTCACGTGACGACTGGCCCCGCCTCTTCCTCTCGGTCCCATATTGAACTCGAGTTGGAAGAGGCGAGTCCGGTCTCAAAATGGAGGTAAAACCGCCGCCCGGTCGCCCCCAGCCCGACTCCGGCCGTCGCCGTCGCCGCCGGGGGGAGGAGGTATTAGGGGGAGAGCGGGGGGTTGATGGGGAATGGCCAGCGTGGGGGGCCTGGCCTGGTGGGAGCGGGGAGGCCGGGTGGACTGGGTCGGCCGTCCCGCGCTCTTGCGTTGAGACGAGCGGTGGGAGGGGGAGGGGAGCGGGCTTTGGAGGCCTCCGCGGGGTGCCTCACTCGCCTCGCCTTCACCTTCGGCTGCACTGGCGGCCCCTTGGAGGCGCGGCGTGGCTAGGGTGGCCTGGGGAGGGAAGCCGGCCCGTCGGTTGCGCGGCCTCCAAGCTAGACTGCGGGCGGCATGGCGGGCACCGGCGGGAGCGGTTGGGAGGAGCTGGTGGGGGAGGGGAAGGGACGAGCAGGCACATCCGGGCGAGCGAGCAGGCGGGCGGCGGCCACATTGACATTGAGCCGCCGCCGCGTTACGAAATGGCGCATTGGCCCGCAATGGCCGCCGCCTCGCTCTACCGCCGAGAAAGAGAGCCTGGGATTGGAGGGAAGAGGGCGGAGGCGGCCCAGCGGAAAATGCCGCAAATGGCCTCGAAGCACGGAAGGTAGCGCTTTCCCTGAAGTTCTGTCGGCGCTTTTCCAGGCCTTTTACGGATCCTCTCCGCGAGGAGAGTCTTTAATTGTCTAGCCTGTTCTTTTCTTCGCAGCATCCTGTCGGAAATACGAGATTGCTAGAAACTTTGCTGCTTTAAAAGACTTGTTAATCTGTTTTTACACCTCTCAAACCGCCACGTGGGTGAAGAACTTAGTATTTTGAGTGTAGATGCGGAAAACAACCCAGTCCGCTCCTTCCCGGTCCTGGCCAGGGTCGAGGAGTGGAGAAGAAGAATTTGAGTGTAGATGTTAAGTAAGAATTAAAAATGTTTTTGATCTTCATGGTTTCTCATTTTTTGAGTCGGCTCTGATTATAGTTTCCTGGAATTTTGTTGAGAGGACTGCAGTCAGAGTTGAAATTTTTACGTGTGTGTTGGCAGTACGTTTTATGTGGATACCAGATGTTTATTTTTGTCGATTTTGTTATTGCCAATCGGATACAATTATCCAAAACTTGAAAATATGAGACTACATGAATTAATGCCTTAGGCTATTAATTATTTAACGTTTTTTTCTAGTATGTGACAGTCGCTTCACATTAAATGCCTTAACATCTCTACCTCTAGAAGACACAGGAAGACATTAGAATGTAAATGTGAGCCCCTTTATTTAAGGACTTCGGATGACGGAAACCTTAATGCATGCATTAAATGACAGTTAATGCAATGTGTTGAAAAGTCTGACTAATCGTATAAAACAATTTCAGAACATCTTAATTCTTAAAAATCTCAATTTTTGTTTTACTGTGCTCCATTCTTCTAGTCAAACAATACATACTACTCCTAATGTAAGTCCAACTTGCCACTTTGTTGTGACTCTTAAAATTGAGTTGTAAAGTGCAGATTTTTGCAGCATGTAACAAGCGTGGGCTATAGAAAGCTATATTTGGTGGGCTTTTTTTTTTCCCTAATTTTTTTTTGGGGGGGGACAGGAAATGCTAGTTTAGCTTAGGAATGACTATTTTAAAAATTTGCTTGAAAGCAGTGAGTTTCTTTAGGTTGATCATCACAGTTTTGTGTTTAAAATTAAATGTGTGTTAGGATGAGAAGACTTGGGATAAATGCAACACTGCTTCTCCAACACTTTAGTGCCCTAGAAAATGACTTCTCATTAGCAGCTTCTAAAGTAAAGACTTGTAGCTTTTAATAAATGGAGGGATTTTTGGTTCTGGAATTGTCTTGGATTTCAATTTAGCTGAAGTGTTGTTGGCATTTGAAAGGCAGGTTGTATGTGTCCTTGGCATAAGTTAGCCCCTTTAACAGTAGAAGTCTGTATTTCTGGTCAAAGTTGTTAGGTTTTTTTGTTTGTTTTGAGATGAAGGTTCCCTCTTGTTGCCCAGGCTTGGAGTGCGGTGGCACAATCTTGGCTTACTGCAACCTCCCCCTCCTGGGTTCAAGCAATTTTCCTGCCTCAGCCTCCCGAGTAGCTGGGATTACAGGTGCCTGCCACCATGCCCAGCTTATTTTTGTGTTTTAGTAGAGACGGCGTTTTGCCATGTTGTCCAGGCTAGCCTGGAACTCCTGACTTCAGGTGATCCACCCATCTTGGCCTTCCAAAATGCTGGGATTACAGGCATGAGCCATGGCTTCCTGCCTCTGATCAAAGTTGTAACTGGACAAAGTGTTAGCTGTCACAGGAATTTGATGTTGATTTTATTATTTATTAAAGGCTCTTTGTACATCTTAACAATTCATCTGTTATAAGAGGTAATTTAAGCATATTGGTTCTTTGTCTCAGGGCCATGATCCAAAGGAACCAGAGCAGTTGAGAAAACTGTTTATTGGTGGTCTGAGCTTTGAAACTACAGATGATAGTTTAAGAGAACATTTT